ATTTAAACCATAGCTATTTCCTTGTCCCTTTGGAAAGGGATTTTCCTTCAGTCTCTTCCAAGAGGGCATTAAGAGGTGGTCTGCCCGGAATGGAAATAGCTCTCCTGTGGGGCACGGAGCAATCCTGCACGCAGATAAGCAAGCCAGGTCCCTTTCCACAGCCCGCTTCGTGGTCTCCCGCAGCAAGGTATCCAAGACTCCAGCTCTCTCACTTAATCTCGGAATCTTAAATGTTTATGCAAAGAAAGTACAACTGACTCATTCATCTAATTGCTTCCAAGAGGGACAGGGAAAGCTCAGTGTCGCCAGGCCCACATCCCCCAGGGGCCAGTGCCCAGAGCCGGCCCCGTGGGCATAGCCGGAGGATGATGTCAGGGCTTCCCAAAGCAGGTCCTTGTCACCGCCCGGCCTGACGTGTCTGTGGGGACAATAGCCAGCACACCGCACTCCAGCGGCTCCCGGGGAGCCTTGTGCTGGGGGAGACTGGAGCGGAGGGCCAGGGTCACAGCGCAAAGTCAGCAGACTCGGCAGCGCGATAAGGCGAACTTTGTGCCTCTCCACGTGAGCCTGACTTGAACCAGGAGGGAGAGGGCGTGACAAGCAGCCTTTCCGGGGACTGTCTGGTCCCGGGGAGGACAAATCAGTTTTTCCAGCTCCAGAGTTGCACTGATCTTTGCAAAGCTGACCTCAGGACCAGCGGCCTCCTGGGTGGTCTTGTTTATTTTCGGTAACGGCAAACTTGAGACAAGCAGCTACTCCTGACAAAGGCAGTAGCCGTCATCACCCCGGCTGGGGATGACGGAACGCTTGCCCACCCAGGGGCTGGGCGAGGTGCTTTGCGCCATGTTCCGTTGTTTGAATCCTCAAAACCTGGAGAGGTAACTGCGGCTGCTGTTTTCATCTTAGAGGTGGGGACACTGAGGCTCTTGGGGGTTCAGTAATTTGCCAGCAGACACTAGAACTGAAGGGGCAGGACCAAGAAACAAACCAAGCCATCTGGAGTCCAGAACTGAAGTTCTAACTGACCACCCTAAACAGACACCATATTCATCATCTCTAAAGGAAGCCACTGCCTTTGGCTACCCGCGCCTCTCTGCTGTTCTGTTTCTCCTGCCAACAGGGGCTGAGCTGTGGGAGTGCAGCCATGTGGGGACACACTCTAAGCTACTTGGCCACAAATCCAAGCCACTTGCAGCCTGAGATGGTGGCGATTGGCAGGGGCCCCCAAGGCAGGGTCTTTGTGTCTGCACAGTAACAACATGGTTCTCAATGGCGTATTCTGACCTGGCACATGGGCCTTTTAGAGATCAGACAAGTAGGAGTTCTGTGTGGGGCCTTCACCCTCACTCTGTTGGCTCACCCAGGTGTAAACAACTCCCTATATGAGGTTCCATGAACGCATGGCTTCTCCATTGACTTGGGCAGAAAAACCTCTTTAAATGATTGCCTGTCACTTGATTAAAGTAGACTCCCAGAAGCTGTGCCTCTCCCGGGATTGGCTCCCCAAATAATCCTGTCCCCTGACAGGGGGGAATCTCTTCCTCCCCCCTCCCATTGCCACTCTGCTGTTCACCATTCTGTTAACTTCCCTTTCGCCACCCCACCCCCCACCATGAAGGTCAAGTGTGTCTCCTCCCTGTGTGTTGTCCTGTCCATGGCTGGTGGTCATTTCACACTCAACCCAATCCCGCCGCCTCCGAGAGTCTCCTGGACCTTCTCCAGTTGAGATCTCCTCCATCTGTCCTGGACGGCACTGGCCAGGTGGTTCTAGTCCTGACAAACGTCCCCAGTGGTGACCCATGGAGATCAGCTCTTCTTGGCATCACATCTGATTATACTTCCGCTTCTCTCCTTCGCCCACAGTGGGAAAGCTGGATGGGAACAAAATAGCCAGGCAACGCCCTACCCAGAATGTTCCGCCTTCTCCATCCTCGATCCTGGTGTCACCATCAGTCCCTTACAAAACCTCAGTACAAAATGCTGTGGAATTTGGAGCTATCCTTAGTGCCCTGTGTGCAGGAAAAGGAGAGGCATTTTCTCTGCTACCTCCCCCATTCCGTTACCCAGCGGGTGTTCCCTAAAGCACAGGCTGCCACGTGATGCTTTCCAGGGAGGGTCGTGGATTTTGCCTTCCCTCTGCTGGTGGCTCTGAGCATTCACACTGCCGTCTCAGCGCAGTCCCTATACGATGGGGCGTTGGACCTTATATGTCCTCATCCCCAAAACAGTGATGAGAAAATGGGCCCTTCTCTGACTCACGGGACCACAATGAGACCCAACAAAGTCGATGCTTTTTGTTACTATCACCACCATTAAGTAAATTCCTGGTTAAAAAAAAAACCCAAAAAACGATTCTTATCATTTGTCATCGCTCTGTTTGACACAAAGTGGGATATTGCTGATAAGAAACCATCCTCCCCCTCTCTCTCCCTGCCTGCCTCTTGTAAGTTTCCTACTCACATGCTTGAATGTTCGGACGCCTTTGCAATTCAAGGAACCTCCTCTGATGTGTGGCATATTTGCGATGGGATGCTCGGCGTGGGTGTGGGTGAGATGGTGGGGGTCCGTGGTCTGGGGGAGTCGCGGTCCCCTGGAGTATCAGCTCTCATGGAGAAGCTCTCTACCAGTTAGACTGGGGGAAGTCAGGAGGGAATAAGATAGAGCTTTCGAATGGAGAGTCCTGTCTGGCCGGGAAGACTGGCTGCCCCAAGGGACCAACACACTCATATGAAGGGTTCTCTGAGGATGGAAGTGATGTTGTCCCGGGGCATGTGCCAGACACACCCAACACGATGCTGTGATTTCTGGGGCAGGGAAGGCTTAAGGTCCCCCACCAACCTCCCTGGCCCTTAATAACACGGGTAAGCCTTTGAACAGGGACCAAGCCTTTAATTCCACCAGCAGAAGTAGGACTTGAAATCTCAGTTGACAAATAAAGGTTTATTTGTAGAGCCCAGGGTTCCCTGTAAGAGAAGAGAAGGGTGTAAGGCTGGATTCTCAAAATAGAAAGGGGAGTGTTTGAGAGTACTGGGGGGTGGGGGAAGAGTGACCCCCGATCTCCAATTAAAAAGTTGGCATTTATCAAATACCCAAGGACACCCCTCTCTCAGGAAACAAATGGGTTGCTGACGTAAATATCCAAAAAGGCTAAAATTTATTTATTTCAGGTAATCAGTAAACAAATCTTTTACATTATTCTCTTACTTTTTTCTTATTTCAAATTTTTTATTATGCTTTAGAAAAGGACACCTCTGAAAATAGTAGAAAAATAAAAAGTTTCCAGCAATACAATAGGATCCTGTGTAGCTATTACCAAAATATATATACATAAATATATATATATTTTTTTTTTCAATAGAGGATAATCTCTGCATGCTCCCAAGGAAAGGACTCTAAGTAACATTGTAACGAGAATAAAGCAAGCTTCAGAAGGTATATTTCACAAGTCCCGTGTAAGTGAAATATTCTGCACCTGTGTGTATGTTTTGTTACACGGATAGAACTAGATCTAGAAGAGTCACCAAATCATTAGCAGGAAGTGGGATGGATTTATATGTTAAGCATCTTCATATGGTATGAGAGAGGTTCTGGTAAGTAACTATTACGTCTGCCATCACAGAAAAGCAATTACGAGTTTAAAAACAGTCCTCAAAGGGGTGGACCAGCCAGGCTGGTCCCCAAGTCCTTCCAGGTTAGTGGGGTGCCAGGGCGGGGGCAGAGGGAGCAGCTACTGAAATTTCCACCTGCCGTGTCCCTTCTGGCTCTTTCCTGCTTTGACACTTGGATGTCTGGAGGGTCCGTGACAGAGACCAGGAGTGGTGGTGATGACAAGCCCCAACCCACATTTGTTCCATTTCTTGCCGCTCCTTGCTGCTTTTCCAATCTCCACCGCAAAAGCCCTCCTCTCTTATCTGCCCAAAGCAGGAGTCAAAAGTTCTTGTCCGTGTGATTGCAGATTGCCGGGCTGGGAAACTTCCTGATAATACCTAAATTCCTTTAGAAGAGCCGAGCCTGGGATCGGGTCAGAAGCGTTTCTGGGGCCTGAGCACATGGTGTACCGAGCAGCTAGATAATAAGCCAGATGCAGGTCGGCAATGTTCAAAAACAAAACAGAAAACAAAAAACACATACAAACCATGAGGGACGTATAAAGACGGCATTGTAGTCCCACCTGATTGGATAGCCTCTTTCCCCAAGCCGATGAACCTGGTCCCCTCCAAAGGCCACGCAGGCTGCTCAGGAAGAATTTCTGCCTTTCCAGCTGTTGAGGGTTTCCAAAATAGACACAGAGATAGGAGGTGTACAAAGAAAATCCAAATAATAATAACAATAAGATCACGCTGCAGTTTCTGGGACATATTTATGGCTTTTATAAACATCCACGCATTCGTTGATTGGGGGTTTGTGACCCTGGTGACAAGAGCTAATTCTGACATTTAGGAATTGAGACTCAGTAGCAGGTCTGGCTTATCCCAAAGAGCGAAGTTTGCGAAACGGTGTGCGCTGTGTGCCCTGCTTTGTGTTTGACCATGATGCTGGGGGCCCCTTGTCACCTCCACTCTATGTCTCATCATAGAACCTGAGGGAGACGGGCTTCCTCCCACTGCGATCTCCTTTGGTCTCGTCCTGTATCCAGTAGCCCCTTTCTTTCCTCCATCTTCCCTGACTGTGTTTCAGAAAGATAACAGGGCTCTCACCAAAAATGGGCAGGAACAGATAAACCTGAAGATAAACTTGAACAAGCAATGGGAGACCTTTAATACACCCTGCATTCTTCCCTGCGGGACATGTCCCTTTTATAAACACAAGTTCCCATTTGGAGTAAATCGAGGAGACGCCACATAAAGTTAAAACCTGTCTTCGCTCTTACCTTGCGCTAGAAACGGATTGAAGGAGATAGATGTGTGCACTCCTGGTAGGGAGGACACGGCAAAGCATTTCCAGAAAGCCCTTCGATGTGCCTCAGCCACTGACCCCGTTCTTGGGTTTTACCCCATCAGGTAACCAGGTGAGTTTCTCCAAATCAGCAGATGCATTTGCCTTCGAAGAGGACAGCAGCAGTGACGGGCTTTCTCCGGACCAGGCTCGGAGCGAAGACCCCCAGGGCTCAGCGGGATCCCCTGCAGACACGAAAGCCTCAGAGACCCCTTTGGCAGGTCCTCTGGGGCCAGTCCAGGTAAACAAACCCCACCTCAGCCTGTGTTGTCTTCATGATCTTAAAAGCACACTGCCACCCTTGGTTTTGCGTAGAGACCCCTGCAATGTCTCTTGACAGCACTCGAACCTCGTGCCTCTTTTGTCCCCATCCAGTCCAGCAATCTGTGTGCGGTGGCCAAAAACTCTAGAAGACCCCACAAGAGAACCCTCGGGACTATAACCCTTTGACTTACTCTTGAAGTGTCCGCTCTGCCAAGTGCATGCCTTTTATCGGCCAAATTTATGGACAAGTACAAAGAGACTTCGTGAGATCAGATGAGTCATGATGATCTCCCGGATAGAATGTGCCAGAGCAGGACCAATTTCAAAGCCCACAGGCTTTCCATGCACAGAGGAATCTCTAAGGGTCCTGGGGAGGGCAGAGCAGGAGGTGCTGATTGGCTGCATGGCAAGGAGCCCCGAGATGGCTCTTCCGTTACAGACTTCTACCTGCCGAACCACTGCCAGGTCCACATCCAGCCCAGCCTGAGCACAGCTTGATGGGGCTTCCCTCAGCCTCGCAGCCTTGTGTGATGGTATTCCTGCAGCGCCTAGGAGGAGATCTGTGGGGGCATGTGTGCGCGCATACACACACACACGTGCGCGCACACACACACGCACAGACACACACGCACACACATACACAAGGGGAAGGAGTTGCACAGGTGTGGCAGCAAGATGTGTCCTCCTCCTACCCACGGACGCTGCAGAGAGCCTCCCTTTTAGGAAGAGTCTGGTCCTGCCGGCCTCATGGGAATTTCGGGATGCCCTGAAATTCGATGATATGTTTGAAACGTGGCTTACACTGCACATTGCCAGAGGGGTATCAGGGACAGCTTGGGTAATGCTCACGCAGAGACCTGTTCTGGAAACCGTGCTACTTCCTCATCGTCGTCTTGCCCTTCTGCACGCCATGAAGCGAGCGAAGCTGGGACTGCCAAGGAGACGGTGTGCACTGGGAGAAGTCGAGAGTGAACAGAGCGGAAATAGCCATACGTTCATTGTGCCCAGGTTATATGGAAGCATGTTCCCTCTCCCTGCCACAGCCGGCCTTCGCAGCCCAGCTTCTCTGATAACAGCAAACAGTATTTCGGATCTCTCGTATCTATTATTCTGAGGGTAAATTCCTCAGCTTCTGATTGAAGAATGGGTTCAGGAGAAGACAAGTTCTTTTCTGCTTCACCCAGGAGAAGGGGTTAGAGGGAATGAGCCTGGGACGATGCCAGGTTCAGGGCAAAAACCATTTTGTCACTACACCCAGAAGCCCCAGTGAGCAGATCAGGACACTGAGGCTCGCAAGGAAAGGGTTGTCCAGGACTTTGCAGGTACCAGGGCTCAGGAAAGGGCAGAGAAGCTCCAGGAGAGAGAGCATGTGCGGCCCCTGTCCCTCTTGGTCACAGGATTGGATTGCTGGAGAGGGATGGAAGACAGTTACTTCTTTTCCCCAGTCCTCCGCATACAGAAAACTGTCTCTCCTAAAGGCTGTTCAGGACACTACCTGCACACACCCCCGTATAGACACACACACGTACAGCTACATATATGCATGCACGTGTAAGTACATGTACACATGTGCACATACCTATAAACCTGCACGTACAAACACACATGTATACAGACACATTCACGTACATGCAGACTCACACATATACACACACAAATAAACAGAAACATATACACACATACATATGCACATATGCACACTTACAAACATATATACCCAGAAACACACACATACACACACGCATCTATTTCCCTTCCATGCACTAACACCATTTTTATCGAGGGTTTTTTTTGTTTGTTTGTTTGTTTGTTTGTTTGGTCCTACTTTCCCCCCCAGATTCCTACACCAACTCCTCCCTCCCTCTTCCGTTTCTCATCGGTCTCCTTATCAAGTCCAAAAGGTGGACCTTGTCACAGGTGGAACCCTTCCACAGGGGGACCAGCTGTCTGGGATGGTCTAGAATAGGCCATTTCTATTCTTGTCTTCTGGAATGATGATGAATGACAACCCCTTTAGCTCTCAAAAGTGACCTGAGTTGGCTGACATATTACATCATACTATATCATATATATGTATATGAGTGATTCCTTTTCCTGGGGAGGTCATGTGATATGTTCTTGGATACGAAGTGCAGATGGGAACAGCAGAGCTATGTATGCGGCAAGGGAGGGAGGAAGGGACTTGACTCTATTTCACGTCTTACAGTTTTCCTCCTGCATCCAACTCATGCTGAAATTTGGATTTCAGGATCATTCTTCTGGCTCTGAAAATGACAGGAAAGACTCAGCCTCCCAGCCCAGCAACCAGTCAGACACGGGGAAGCAGGGGCTCGGCCCTCTTGGCAACCCAGTCACTATGCACGCTGCCGTAAAGGTAGGGATGGACCATCCTCCCAGCACCTGCCTGAGCGCTCACTCCACGAGCCAGCTGGGAGCAGAGCTTTCGGGCTGAAGTGTGGTGGTTCAGTGGGAGTCAGGGAGGAGGGTCACACGGACCCGTGTGTAGGCTCAGCCTACTGGGAGCACCGTAAGTCAGGAGAGGAGAAAGGCGCCATGCATGTTTGCAGACCAAGAGTCTGTTATCTGTGCAGACACGGCCATGGGTCTTTCCTGCAGAAGAGAAACCCATGTGCTTGCATTTCTTTGGAATTACAGCTCAGCCCATGTGTGCCTGACTTAAAAGACTTCATAAGGTCAGCCTAGAGAAAGATGCAGCTGATGGGACCACACATAGGATTTGTAAATGTCATCAATTATGTGGGGGGAGGAGTTGGGTTTTATGCAGGGGAAGCAGATCTGAAGACTTTGGGTCATGTAATACCTCAATCATTTAAGCCCGGCTCCCTTTGAAGATAAAGGGAGGGGCTGTCTGCATAGTAGACCATAATAAGCATCATAGCCGACTCTTGGTTAACTTTCCTCTGCATTATACTTATTAGTTCACAAAGAACTCTCTCCTCCTACTAATTAACTGCCTGCTAGTAATCGTTTGGTTTTCTTCATAATATTCTATCCCAAATAACTTACTAGTTTTGTTTTGTTTTGTTTTGTTCAGAGTTGAGGGGAGGAGCAGTGGGGGAGGGAGAGAGAGAATCTCAAACAGATTCCCCACTGAGCACAGAGCCCCCATGAGATGATGACCTGAGCCAAAATCAAGAGTCAGGTGCTTAATGACAGAGCCACCCAGGCGGTACCCCTCTCCCAAATGACTTCTCATCAGTCTGGGGCAAATTATCTCAGCTCCAGGGTCACCCCTTAATGCCAGTTGAGAAGTCTTTCATGAAAACTTTTCCAAAAGATCATAAGATTCGGTGTTAAAGTAACAGTCTCAGAATCCCTTCCACTACATTCATATACACAGAAGTGGATGGCAGGACTTTCAGTTTCCTGTAAACATCCCGGAATCTTGCCTCAAACTCACTCCCTAAGTGGTTTAAACCTCATTTGCAATTCACTCAGCCCTGCAGCTTTGACATTACCTGTTGGTGAATTTTGCTCACTGCAGGTGGAGGAAGGAGATGGCTCACGTAATTTCTACTGTCGTGTACAAGGAGAAATTTTATTACTGTTTCCAATGTGTTTAAATTTTGTCTAAGTCAAATTAGTACCTCCTGCAACCTCAGTGCACGAAGGAAACGTGATAGTCGCCCAGAGGAAGGACAGGTCAGTTTCAACAAAGAGCAGGATTGACATGTAACTGATCTAGCGGGAATGGTTGTTTCCATGAGAGCAAGTCCCCCTGCCGACGGGTCATTGTCTATGAATTCTCGGTCGTTTGCTATTCATCATCTCTAAAGGAAGCGAGGACTACAGGGCTTCCCAAAGAAGGAAGCAGCCCAGCTCAGGGGAAATATCTCTGCCCTATTGATGTCGTAAGGTACCTATAAGACTACTGAGAGAATGCACAAGAATATCCCAAAACTGTAAAATCCTATGTAAGGGAAAGGTGTTTGCAGATTCACAGTGTAGGCTCCTAGAAGGTATATATCAAAGCTGAGTAAAACACGATTCCTGGGGCACCTGGGTGGCTCAGTAGGTTGAGCGTCTGCCTTTGGCTGAGGTCGTGATCGCGGGGTGCTGGGATCGAGCCCCACATCCATCGAGCTCCCTGCTCAGAGGAGAGCCTGCTTCTCCTTTTCCTTCTGCCCTTCCCCCCTCACTTGTGCTCTCTCTCAAAATAAATAAAATCTTAACACACACACACACACACACACACACACACACACACACACACACACAACATGATTCCTGCACTCAAGAAGCCTATAGTCTGAGTGTCACAGCCACCACTAACCCATACAGTGCTGTGAGAAACTAAGAAAAAAATGGGCCACAAAGGAACTGAATAGACATTTCGCCAAAGGTAAATAAATTGCCAATAAGTACACGAAAGGGTGCTCTGTGTCATTAGTCACCAGAGAAACGAAATTCTAACTCAACAACAAAATACCACTTCACACCCACTGGGATGGCTATCCTGGAAAATTGCAAGTATCGGTGAGAATGTGGAGAGATTGGAGCTGTCACACATGGAGCACCCACTACAGAAAACAGCATGGTGTTTTCAAAAAAATTAAACCCAGAATTACCACAGGACCCGGAATTTCCTCTGCTTAGGTATATGCTCCACAGAACTGAAAACAGGTGTTCTAACGAGATCTTGTGTCTTGGAAGTGAATATTCATGGCAGCAATAGCCACAGTAGTCAGAAGTTGGGACAAACCCAAGTGTCCATCAGCAGAAGGATGGGTCCATGTGTGGCATGCCTGCACAATGGGGTGTCCCTCACTTATAAAGAGGAATAAAGTCCTGCTACAGAAATGAGCCTGAAAACATGATGCTGAGAGAAAGAAGCCGGACATGAAGGGCCTCATAGTGTAGGATTCCATTTATATCAGCCACTTTGAACAGGCAAATCCATGGACATGGAGAGCAGATGAGCAGTGTCTGGGGACTCCAAGAAGGAGAATGGGGACAGGCTGCTTCCTGGGGATGGGGTATCCTTTTGGGGTGTGAAGAGGTTTTGGAGCTACATGGTGATGAAGCTTGCCCAATGTCATGCATTTATACTTTAAAATAGTTACTGGAGGGTTTTTTCTGTTACCTGTGTTTTACCACGATAGAGAAAGAGAGTCCCCTTTCTGCGGGGAGGGACGGAGCACCGCCTCCATCAGGGCCAGTAGTGCAGGAAGCAGAACAGGGGCTGGACTTCAGTCTCCCCCAGCCCCTGAGCAGGGCATGCTGTGGTGCGACCATTATCGGACAGCCCCGAAATGCCATTATGAGACTGCCAGTGAGAGACCTCACTGTGAATTGGGAAGGGCTTCTCGGGGAAGCTGGGGTGTGAGCCGGACTCAGAGGACAATCCTGAGTCAGGTAGCAGGTGCAGGAGGGAACTGCAGGCAGCAGGAAATCACAAGGAAAAGAGGTGGGAGGGGTAAGCTGTTGGGTGGGAGGGGTCAGGCGGTTGGGAGAACGGTCTTCTATGACAGAGGGGTTTTGGGACTTTGTCTTGCGGGGCAGGCAAACTGATTGTAGGCTGCTGGGGCGGTAGGTTGTGGGGCAGGCCCAGGGCACGAGCAGGTTTGAATCAGAATGCTTTCTTGCAAAAAAAAAGTCACAGACCTTTAGCCACAGACCACACCATGCCCTCTTGCACTACACTAACCTACTTTATGTGTCTGTGCCTGGATCTGAAAGCACTGCATCTTGTATTCATCTCTGCTTTAGAGAAATGAATGTGCTCCCCTCCCTTTGGCCATGCAGTTCTAGGCAGAAAATAGAAAAAGAGAGAGAGAGAGAGAGACATCAAAAAGACAAACTTACCACCTTGTAGATTCTGGTTTCAAAAAGAGTATAGACTGATACAGGCCCATGGACAGGATTCCCGTGGGTTCTGTAGGCTTTGCCTTCCGCTCTCCAAAGAAAGTGGTCCAGCTGGAGTAACTTCTGGAACGCTCAGCGTCCCTGTACGAAGGCAGCATGGAGAGAGAGCTCCCATCCCTGACTGGCCTGCAGCTCCCCCAGACAAGGAGGCAAGTCCTAGGGTGAGGTGGGAACAGACGCTGAGCTGGAGCAAAGCAGGGCCGGGCTGATGGCAGGAGCCCTGCGGAGATTCCCCTGGAGCCCAGAAGACTGATTAATTAGCCAGAATGCTAATCGATGGAAGAGCGGGGAGAAATTGAGCCACCAAGCACGTGGGAATTCTTGTGCTCCCTATTTATTACTTCCCGCGAAGAAGCCTCCTTGAGAAAACACAAAACAGGCTTCGGTGGTGGGACACGCTGAGTCAGAGAAATGGAAGTTGTAGACTGCTTTGGACAGGTCACTTTTCAGAGGCGTGTCTTGTGGTTAAAAAGGGGAAGCTGCCCTGTGGGAACCTGCCTGCCAGGTGTTCTGGAGCTCCCTCTCGTGGACGACGCTGGTATCACAGCTCCCGCTGCGCCTTCCCCCAAATCCTCAAGCTGCTTGTCAGACATCCACCAGGCTTCTCTAAAGTCAGCGCTGGAAAACTAAGATTTTTTTTCAGCTGATGACAGTATGGACCACTGCCTCCTAAAATAGGGAGGCCTTTTGATTTCAGGAGCAGGTTACAGGTATAGGTGTAATCCTTTGAGACCTGTCCTTATGTCTCTAGTATCTTTCTAGAAGGATCCCCGGGGGCGGCGGGGCTGGGGGGCGCTCACCCTTCTCAGAGTAAGTCAAGTATCATGATCTCAGAGGCTGTCAGTTCCTGGGGTTATGTCCATATGTGAGGTGGTGGTGGAAGGGGGAGGCTATCTTACTTTTCCGCCCAGATCTGCAAAAATCCTCATCAAAGACACGCTTAATTTCATCCAAGGGGATGTCATTCATAAAGTCAACTTACTGAGTGTCTCACTAAAGGTGATTTCGTGTATAAGGAGGGAGGAACTCCCTCACAACTCCATCTCAGGATCAGATCGTGTCCGTCTGTCGGTTTTAGCCGAGGAACGCGTCCTAGCCGAGACCCAGGCTTCCGTCTTACTCTGCCCTGGGAGGGAAATGCTTCTGGAGCCCCTTCTGAGAGTCATATCCCCTCCCACTCTAGAGTGAGGCACCTGCAGTAGGTAAGCCTCAGTCCCCAAGATCTCGCTGCGCTTTGTGCCTTTGCTCTGTTGTATCTCCGGGGCTCGACAAAGTCTGTTACAGCAGAACCTCCTAGCGATCTAGCCATGACACCCAGCCGCCCCCCCCGCCCCCCCCCCCCCAAAGCACCTGCCATCTCTTCACCCCCTTTGCAGTCCAAGTCCTTGAGCGACAGTAAGAACCGCCACAAAAAGCCCAAGGACCCCAAGCCCAAGGTAAAGAAGCTCAAATACCACCAGTACATCCCACCAGACCAGAAGGCGGAGAAGTCCCCGCCGCCCATGGACTCGGCCTACGCCCGGCTGCTCCAGCAACAGCAGCTCTTCCTGCAGCTCCAGATCCTGAGCCAGCAGCAGCAGCAGCAGCACCGGCTCAGCTACCCGGGAATTCACCAAGCTCAGCTCAAGTGAGTCCGGAGGGCCCAGGGCGGCGGGGGCGAGCGGAGGCCGGCTGGGGAGGGCTCCTCTGTGTCCCAGGCACGCGGGGCCGACACCTGGGACCCCAGCAAGTGCCCGACGGTGCCCGGTCCTCATCTGGTAGGTTTAGAATAGGACTCTGCTTAGGAACCATGCCCACCTTCTCAGGAGCAGAAGGCCGGGAGGAAGCAAGGAAATGGAAGCCCTGCGAGGAGGTATCGCTGGGAAAAGAGAAAGGATTAGCGCTCTCAGACTGAATCGTGGACGAGAGGAGAAACCGTGTCAGGGTGGTTCTGTTTCTTGGATTTGCCTGGCCCGTATGCTTTAGGAAGCAACAGACCTGAGTGACTGAGTGACAGCCGGCCCCAAAGATTGAGTCTGGGGGTCCCGACATGGCACCCCCACGGCAGTCACCTTTTATTTATTTTTTTTATTTTTTTTTAAAGATTTTATCTATTTATTTGACAGAGAGAGATCACAAGTAGAGAGGCAGGCAGAGAGAGAGGGGGAAGCAGGCTCCCCGCTGAGCAGAGAGAACCCGAAGCGGGGCTCGATCCCAGGACCCTGAGATCACGACCTGAGCCGAAGGCAGAGGCTTTAACCCACTGAGCCACCCAGGAGCCCCGGCAGTCACCTTTTAAATGGCCATTCCCTTCAACTCTAAAGTTGGAGTAGGGGTTCCTGCACCTGTGTCTGCTCAGCCTCAGTTCGTGTGGGCAATGATGCTGAGAGCTGAATACAACCATGCTTTATGGGGTCCTCCAGCCCCTCAGGACACTTTCCCCTATGCCAGAGTCTCTACCGCTCCCTCCTGTCTCCCCGGAACTCATCTGGAGTGTCACTTGCCCCTTGGCACTGCGCCTGCCCGGTTGGTGTCTTCAACCTGCCTCTCCTGCTGATCGATTTCTTGCCTGATCCTTGCAGGCCATTAGCACGTGACCTGATCCAAATGCAAGTTACCCACGGAAAGTTCTGGCCACCCAGTTCCAGTGGGGGGGAGGGGCAGCTTTCCCCACATCACCAGCCAGGTGCCCTGCAGTTCCACTCAGTTCTGGCACCATCTGCCTGGACAGAGAGCATCAGATCCCACAGGTGAGGGGTTCAGTCCCACAAGACTGTCCCCACCTTCCCCCACTCCAGATGCCAATCGCAAGCCTAGACGTTGTGACCTGGGCTTCTGGTGGCCTGGGCTATAGGTCAGAGGTTTCCACGATTTCCTCCCCGGGTTCCATTAATTCACTAGAGCAGCTCCCAGAACTCAGAGAAACAGTTGACTTTACTAGACCACTGGTTTATTATAAAAGGATGTTACTCAGGAGCAGCTAGATTTAAGAGATGCGCAGGGCAAGGGATGGGGAAAGGACGAGGCGCTTCCCTGCCCCCCACCCCAAGCGTGACACTCTCGTCATTCTCCATGTGTTCACCAACCTGGAAACTCTCCGAACTCCGTTCTTTGAGGTGTTAGCGGGCTACCTGATTGATTAAACCATGGGTCATTGGTGAACAACCCAACTTCCAGCCCAGCTCCTCACCCGAGGGGTCAGGGGGTAGGACTGAAAGTTTCCACCTCAAATCACAGGGCTGGTTCTCAGGCATCCAGCCCCCATCCTTAGGGGACCTTGGGCCTTTCACAAAGTCACCTCGCCAGCATGACAGACGTCAACCCCGGGGCTCCCATCACTTAGGAGACTCTGAGGATTTTAGGAGCTCTGTGCCAGAAAGAAGGACAAGGACCAAATGTGTCATTTCTTATTGTACATCATGCGTTACACCCCCATATATCTATTTGGCTGTATTTTAAGTGCCTCTTTTTTGTTTGTTTTTCAGGGAGCCAAATGAACAGATGGTCAGAAATCCAAACTCTACTTCAACACCACTGAGCAATACCCCTTTGTCTCCTGTCAAAAACAGCTTTTCTGGACAAACTGGTGTCTCTTCTCTCAAACCTGGCCCGCTGCCATCAAACCTAGATGATCTGAAGGTATAGGATATGGTGTGGTTTCCTTCCTTCCTTCCTCCCTCCTTGTCTCCCTCCCTCCCTCCCTCCCTTCCTTCCTTCCTATTTTTCAAGAAATGTATTGGTAGATTTTTTTTCAAGATTTTATTTGTAAGTCATCTCAACACCCAACGTAGGGCTCGAACTCACAACCCCAAGATTAAGAGTCACCTGTTCTACCAACTGAGCCAGCCAGGCGCCCCAACAAATGCATCAGTAGCTTTTTAACATTTCCCCCAACTGATTTCTTGAATCAGACATTGGGAGGGAGAAGGTATGGGGGAGACTCAAGTAGATGACAAAATTTTAACTGCTGTGGTTGAGAACCCCCGCCCCCGCCCACAAAGCAGAAGACCCCGGGCTTCCAAAAACTCAGCTCTTTCCCTGGCTATGCAGCCTCAGGTTAGTTTCTTAATTTCTCTGCCTCTTGGATCGCTCATTTGCATATAGGGGTTCTTGTGAGAACCCGATGGAATCGTATATACATGGTAGAACTTAGCGCACACAGCAGCAGTAAGATTGATGTGGGCTTCCAGAATGTTCTAAGCCAGCAGTCAGCTCCATGATGGACTTCAACCAGTCTCCGGTGAAATGAGAAAAGCAAGAACCATGTAAAGGGCTTTTCATAAGTCTGAGTGTGTTCAGCATACTGTGGCAGATCTGTATTCAAAGTATTTATTTCCTCCCGATGTTCCGCATCTAAAGAAAGATCCTGTTTGGAAATGATGACAGCAGTGGGCGGAAGTTGAATGTGGCTGGTAGACTTTTGTTTCTTTGTGTTAAGTAGGGGTATTGTTCAAGAAGGATGTGAGTCTTGGGGAATAAGATGACATGTTGGTAACCCAATGTTGGCTGCATAATGTGAAATAGCGTACCGTTCTGTGAGATCCCCGAGTGCGAGAACTTCTGCCCTGAAATGCGACAGAGACACGTTCATTGCTGGGTGTGGGGGAGCAGTTTCCTCTGGATCACAGACCTCAGGCATGTCCCTTCACTGGGATGGACCCTGGGCTCTGAGCTGAACCTAACACATTCCAGAACAGCGCTCACGCCTGGCGTGTTCATCCTTCCAATATTTACAAAAGAACTGAAGGCAGTTGTGGTGCCTTCATCTCCTCTAACGTGTGAGCACACCTGCTCCCCTCGATGCTTCATTCTGTTGTCTGTGATCCCACCTGTACACCTGCTTTCCACCCAACTGTTACTCTCTCCTCCCCCGAAGGACTTTATTGCTTGTCCCCAAAAAGCCAATTTCCTGTAGTTCCCCATGGTCTTCACTGGGCCAGGCTTTCTCAGTCCTTATTCGTCACCCTCTGTTCCCATTCTCAGCCTTTGGCCATTATCTACCTTGGGGGAAAGGTGGCGGTGGGATTATTTCATATGAAAGAAAATTAATTCTATGGCTAGCAGTGGCCGACACCCACCAATGAAATGGATCTTGGGTTGTGATACCGACTTCCTCTGTCCCTTCCGCTTGGAATCACAATGCTTGGGTTTCATTGAGCTTGTCCCAACGTAGTAGCCTCCGTAAGGCTGGATAAGGCTGCCAAGCTTCTGGGAATGCCCTCCAGAACAGCGGGCCACCCACCCTCCGCTCCGCAGGTCCTGAATCCATGACGGTATAAAATCCGCTGCTCTCACCCGGACAGCAATGTGCTAAACGAAGTAAGCCAGACACAAAGCGACAACTAGTCTATGAATCTGCTTACATGAGGGACCTAGAGACGTTCAAAGAGACAGAAAGTCGAAGGGTGGCTGCCAGGGGCTGGGGGGAGGAGGAACGGGGAGTTAGTGTGTCATGGGTACCTAGGTTCTGCGTGCAATGAGGAAGATCTTTCCGAGACAGACAGCGGTGATATTTGCACAACAGTGTGAATTTACTAATTCCACTGAACTGCATCCTTAAAAGTGATTAAAGGATGTTTCATGCTGTACATCTTTAACCACAGTAAAAAAAAAAAAAAATTTTTTTTAAGATTTTATTTATTTATTTGACAGAGAGAAACACAGCAAGAGAGGGAACACAAGCAAGGGGAAGGGGAGAGGGAGAAGCAGGCTTCCCGCCAAGCAGGGAGCCCAATGCGGGGCTCGATCCCAGGACCCTAGGATCATGACCTGAGCTGAAGGCAGATGCTTAACAACTAAGCCACCCAGGTTCCCTGCAAAAAGATTTTTTGGATGCTTCTGGGTGGTTCAGTTGGTGAAGCATCTGAGTCATCATTTCAGCTCAGGTCTTAATCTCAGGGTTGTGAGTTCAAGCCCCACATTGGAAAAAAAAATTTTTTTTTTAAAGTTGTCTACCTTACGATGGGAGCTCGGGGTCAGGTAGATCTGAAGTTGCCTTGGTCCCAGACAACATCGTCCAGAGGTGATGTGCCATCTAAGCAGAGTGGCCGAAGGTGGTTTCCTCGATGGGCTCGTGCTCAGAATGATGGGCCGGTCGGAGTCAAAATAGATCAGCGTCGATACTAGGAAACGATGGCGTTAGCGGCTGCCAGTGTTTGAGTGTAAACCATCGATCGACCATGCTGTGTAGATTTGCTTCCGTGTTTCACCCTGCAAGACGGGTTTTACACGTGAACCTAAAAATCAGGACCTCCAAGAGGCTAAATAAATAAGGTGTAACTCATTATCATCCTAGATATTTTTGAGCTCAAAAATGGTCTGCTGTATAGAACAGACACTGGGTTGGTTTGTTTGTTTAAGATTTTATTTATTTATTTGAGAGAGAGAGAGCATGAGTCGGGGGAGGAGCAGAGGGGAGAAGCAGACTCCCCGAGGGGCAGGGAGCCCGATGCGGGACTCGATCCCAGGACCCTGAGATCACGACCTGAGCCGAGGTCACACACCTAACCGACTGAGCCACCCAGGTGCCCCTAGAAGAAAGATACTGTTGATAAACCTAAAGCTGGCCCCAATAGCACAAGTGAGAAGAGTGGGGGAAATAGGTTAGTTCTATCAGGACTCAGGCTAACACGTAAAAGAGACTCTGCATTTTCTCCCCCACCTGGAGAAGCTGTCCCAGTTTTTGCCTGGTGTGTCCAGAGCCCACAAGTCAATCCAGAATGCTGACCACTAAAAACAGACTTACATCTCCTTTTGTAGAAGCCAAAGAACCTTTACAGCATAAATAAGTTTGGTAAATTCATACGACTTAGTTTCAGTTTCTCGGGTAACACTGATTTGTGTATTTTAAGTTAAAGTAGGAAGTCTGGAGTTAAATTCAGGAGACAGATGACGTTGATCCTAACAACCTCACTTCCGTGTATGGGCTGCACATTGTCAAGTTTGAATGTTGGTCAGTCATGAGTTCACGGTTCATGCTACAGGCACACGGTGCACTGAGATCATATGCTAAGTGAATAAATGTTGTGCTTACCCTCCCCCGCAAAAAAGAGACTGAATGCTGTGCAAGTAAACCAGCCTATAGATGAGAAAACTGGGGTTTGGCCTTAAGGGAATGATTTTTTGTTTGCTTTTTCTTATTTTATTTTATTTTAAATTCCAGTATAGTGAACATGCAGTGTTATATTAGTTTCAGGTGTACAATATGGTGATTTGACAGTTCTGTACAACACCCAGAGCTCATCACAAGTGCCCTCCTTGATCCCTATCACCTATGTCCCCCGTCCCCCTTCCCCTCTGGTGACCATTAGTTTGTTCTCTATAATTAAGAGTCTGTTCTTGGTTTCTCTCTCTTTCTCTTTTTCCTTTGCTCATTTTGTTTGTTTCTTAAATTCCCCATAGGAGTGAAATCACAAGGTTTTTGTCCTTCTCTGACTGACTTCACTTAGCATAATTCTCTCTAGCTCCATCCATGTTGTTGCAAAATGGGAAGATTTCATTCTTTTTTACGGCTGAGTAATATTCCATTGTAATTTGGCCATTGTAAATAATGCTGCAGTAAACATAGGGGTGCTTATATGCCTGAATTACTGTTTTTATAATTTTTTAAGTAAATATCCAGTGGTGTGATTACTGGATTGGAGAGTAGTTTTGTTTTTAACTGAGTGATCGCAAAGGTTTTGCTACTGTCACTTGAAATGAGGATGGAAAAGGGGAGGGACAGACAGAGAAACCTTCATTGGACTTGACCTCTAGGTGTTTGGGGAGAGGTGTCACCTGGGATTGTGACACCAGGGGCAGACATTGGGAGGGTAGAATGGGGACCTGAGGGACGCCTGGGTGGCTCAGTGGGTTAAAACCTCTGCCTTCGGCTCAGGTCATGATCCTGGAGTCCTGGGATTAAGCCCCACATCGCGCTCTCTGCTCAGTGGGGAGCCTGCTTCCCTTCCTCTCTCTCTCTGCCTGCCTCTCTGCCTACTTGTGATCTTTCTCTCTCTCTGTCAAATAAATAAATAAAATCTTTAAAAAAAAAAAAAAAAGAATGGGGACCTGATCTGAAGGGATGTTGGCAGATGCATTCCGTTTGGGGAAACCGAGTCACAGGTACCACCAGGATGACCAAGGGGAAAAGTCTAGCTAGTGTCCGTGCAGTTTCCAATCTAGTTCATCTAAACTGTGTTGTCAGCCTAGGCACAGAAATTTTGGAATCGTTTGCATAGTGGGGCAAGTTGAAGCCACAAGACAGAAGGAGAGCAGTTGGAAAGAGTGGGAAGGGAAGAAGGAGAGAAATAAAGGAAGTGGGTGATTAACCATACTTTCTAGAAAAGGAAGACACAGGAGGAATTAATGAAGGTGACCCTTAAAACAGGTCATCAGAAAGACAAGGTATCAAAAGTAGATGTTCTCCCAAAAGGCTCATGTTTTGCTGACTAGGAGTAAAAGGGGAAAAGCACTGAGAAAAGTTTGGTTTTTCATTAAAAAGTTATACATGGGGGAGGGGGCACTCGTGGGGGCGCAGTTTGTTAAGCATCTGACTGTTAGTTTCAGCTTAGGTCGCGATCTCCGGGTGGTGAGATGGAGGCCTGTGTCTGGCCATGCACTCAGCAGGAAGATTCTCCCTCTCCTTCTGCCCTAGTCCCTCACTCCAGCTCATTTTCTCTCTCTCTCTCTCAAATGAATAAACCTTTTTTTCCTTTAAGTTATACATGGTAACATCACAGTATATGGTTTTTTTCTCTTTGCTAATCCAGTATATGGATTTTTTTTCTCTTGTTTCTAAGAAACCAGAGAGCCAGAGAGCATGAGAGAGAGAAACAGAGAAAATAAAGGGAAATTTAAAAGCTGGAAAAATATGATGGATATTAAGAAATAGTTGTTCATGTGTTTCAGGTGTGATAATGGTCTTTTATCTTTTTTTTTTTTTTAATAAAAGGCACTTATCTTTTAGCGAAAGATACTGGAATATTTACAGATCACATTATATGATTTGCTTCAAAATAATTTAAGAAATATAGTGGAAGTGATTTGGGGCATAAATGACTCAAGATTGGACAGATGGATCATTGTTGAAGCTGGTGAATGGCTCCAAGGGGTTCATTCTACTTTTTTCATCAACTTTTGTGTATGATAGACATTTTCCATAATACACAGTTGAAAGAGTGATTGGCGGTGAAAACACCAGGGAGTGTAGGAAAGAGATGTATACAAACCTTTGTCCCCAGCAAGCCCACACAGCATCATACTCTGAAATGTAAGGTAAACCGAGTGCAAATATGAATTGCATTATTTAATGATGTAGCTTAAAATATTCAGTGCCAGAGCAGATTCTAAAAATAAATGTAGAACTCATTAATTTTAAGTAATTCAAACTTAAAACAATAATGAGTTGCCGTTCTGTACTTTTTCAAACCAGCAAATCTGGGGGGAAAATAAAAAAGATAAGACAGTGCCAGAAAGATGAAGAGGGGCGGGTATATTTACAGTTGCAGTAGTGTGACTTGTTGTAATCCTTTTATATTGTAATATATTGTAATCCTCAAATACCTTTTAAGTGATTATAAAGTGATTATTTACTGTCGAAAGAGAATAGTGTAAGGAGAAGTAAAGAGTATTTTAAAAGATAATTGACCCACAGATAGCATTGCAGATTATATTTCCCTATAAACTTAAAATACGGGTGGATATGTTTTCTTTTAAAAATTATTGTTTATAATTTAAAAATTATTGCTCTAGGGTAATCCTGTGAACATGAATTTCTGGCATGTTTTTTTGTTTAACATATCATAAGTTATTTCATAATTTGCAATATTCAATAAAATTTTTATTTTTTTAAGGTTTTATTTATTCATTTATTTACTTATTTGTCAGAGAGAGACTGAGCACAAGCAGGGGGAGCAGCAGGCAGAGGGAGAAGCAGGCTCCCCTCTGAGCAGGGAGCCCGATGTGGGGGGGCTCGATCCCAGGACCCTGAGATCATGACCTGAGCCGAAGGCAGAGGTTTAACCCACTGAGCCACCCAGGCGCCCCTTAAGGAACTTTCTTAAAAAACATTTTTATTGGCTTATTTTTGCTGCTACTTCCCTAACACAAAGTATTCTTAATTCCTTTGTCAATTTCATGAGTGCAAAAATATGTCCATAATTGTTTTTATTTGGGTTACTAATGCTGGTACATGTCCATTATTGGCCATTTTTAAATTTTTTTAATCTTTTTAAAAAGATTTTATTTATTTATTTGACAGAGACAGCACGTACAAGCAGAGGGAGCAACAGAGGGAGGGAAGAAGCAGGCTCCCCGCTGAGCAGGAAGCCCAGTGCGGCACTCGATCCCAGGATCTTGGGATCATGACCTGAGCCAAAGGCAGATGCTTCACTGACTGAGTTACCCAGGGGCCCACAAAAGATACATTTTTTTTTAAATCGCCAATAAAAGGGGCTCCTGGGTGTCTTAGTTGTTGAAGTGTCTGCCTTTGGCTCAGGTCATGACTCAGGGGTCCTAGGATCGAGTCCCATATAGGGATCCCTACTCAGCGGGAAGCCTGCTTCTCTGTCTCCCTCTGCTCCTCTCCCCTGCTTGGGCTCTCTCTCTCCCTCTTGTTCTCGCTCTCTCTCAAATAAATAAATTTTTAAAAATGCATCTTTTGTTTGTGACAAGTTGACCACACCCATTATCCATTTTGAGGTGTTGGTTTATATTGGGGGTTTGTTAAAGCACCCTTGGTACATCGAGCTTACTAACACCTTATTACTTGTCCTGTGATTATTTCTGTCTGACACTGCTATCTGCATTTGCATTTTCTTTTTGGTGTTTTTGACTTAGAGGGATTTTTTATTTTTGTCTTATTTTTAGGATAGCTTTCTTTGCTTTTGGGCTCAAAAGATCCTTCCGTACAGAATATCAGAAGGCTGTCTCCCTATACGTTCTTCTAGCTATTTTATGGAATTATTGACACTTGGATATTTAATGTTTCCTGTTTCAGTCATAAAAGTAATATCTTCTGTGATGTATTTAGGGTGTTAGAGATAAGGAGAACCATTGTTAACATTTTAGTCTATCTTTATCCACATATTTTCATCTGCAAGCATACATTTAAATATATGCACACATATAAACTTATATAATTCTTAGGAAAATAGAATCAAGCAATTTAAGCTATTTTTCACCTAAAAATATACCATAAACAGGGGTGCCTGGGTGGCTCAGTTAGTGTTTGACTTCCGCTCAGGTCATGATCTCAAGGTCCTGGGATCAAGTCCTGCATCTGGCTCCCTGCTCAGTGGGCAGTCTGCTTCCCCTTCTCCCTTTGTCCCTCCCCCTGCTCGTGCTCCCTCTCTCTCTCTTTCTCTCTCTCCCAAATAAATTTTAAAGATCAAGAAAAAGTAATATACCGTCAGCAATTATTCATTCTTGTATGTAACATCAGGGTTCATGGATTCTGATATTCCATCATCCATAGGCACTACCATTAATTTAATTTTAATAGAGTACAGCTATTTCTAGATAGCTGTAGCTCATCATTTATGAATATTATAAAAAATGCAGGGATGAAATTATCACACATGAATCCACATAATAATGGCAAACGCTTACACCCCACTAACCATTTGCAAGACACTATTCCAAACACTTTACAACTGTTGAGCCATTTCAGGCCTCACAAAAATATATCAAGTAGGTATGACCGTCTCCATTTTACAGAAGGGGAACCGAGGCACAAAGTGATCTCTGCGCTGGAAAGAGACAAGGTCAGGATTTGAACTGAGGGACTTCCTGCATTACATTCTCTCTCAGTATATGACTATCATCTAGCCAGTTATTAAAATTAGGACATGAAGTGGGGTGCCTGGGTGGCTCAGTCGGTTGAGCCTCTGACTCTTGATTTTAGCTCAGGTCATGATTTTGGGGTGGTGGGATCAAGCCCTGTCCTGATCCAAGCTCATTGGGAGAATCTGCTTAAAATTCTCTCTCTCCCTCTCTCTCTGCCCCTTCCCCGGTTCAGCCTCGCTCGCACGCTCTCTCAAATAAATCTTAAAAAAACAAAACAAACCAAAAAACAGGACCTAAGTGTTAATGTAGAACCATGGTTCTCAAAACTGGGTCCCAGGACCAGTGGCACCAACATTCCCTGGGAACCTGTTAAAAATGCACATGGCCCGTTTCCTGCACCTGCTCAAGTTGGAGAACGGAGGACAGAGAGAGCCTGGTAGGGCGAGCAGTGGCCTAGGAGCAGAAGACCTGGTGTGCTTTGGGATGATTGGTTGCCCGCTGATGGCTAAACCCCGGCAGACATCAGTCTTCTCATCTACAGAATGGGGCAAGGACCGGAGTAGGGGTTGGAAGCCGGTAGAGTAGGCGACCTCTGTGTTCATGTGGTTTCAAGTGGGCTGTCCCTTTGAAGGACTCTGGGATCGTGCAGGGGAAGCATGGTACAGAAAAGCATGGTGCAAAACCCTATTGAGCCCCAGGGGAGGGGAGGGAATTGTAAGCGAGTGATAGAAAAGCGGACATTGTACAGTTCCACTGGTGATGTTTTAGAGCAAATGTAACAATTTTTTTTTTTTTAAGATTGTCCTTAAACAGTCACTAACCGCGCCCTGGTTTCTGTAGGTCTCGGAATTGAGACAGCAGCTCCGAATCCGGGGTCTGCCGGTGTCAGGCACCAAGACGGCCCTCATGGACCGGCTGCGGCCCTTCCAGGACTGTGCGGGGAACTCCGTGGCCAACTTCGGGGACATCACGACCGTCACCTTTCCAGTGACGCCCAGCGGCGCGCTGCCCGGCTACCAGTCGTCCCCGTCCGCCGGCGCCCTGTCCAACGGCTTCTACCACTTCGGCAGCACCAGCTCCAGCCCCCCGATCTCGCCCGCCTCGTCCGACCTGTCCGGGGCAGGGTCCCTGCCCGACACCTTCAACGACGCGTCCCCGTCCCTCTGCCTGCACCCGTCACCAGTGCACGCGTGCGCCGAGGAGAGCCTGCTGGGCGGCCTGGGCGGGGGCTCGCTGGCGCCCGAGCCGGACGGGCGGGACTCGGAGAAGGACAAGATGCTGGTGGAGAAGCAGAAGGTCATCAACGAGCTCACCTGGAAGCTGCAGCAGGAGCAGCGTCACGTGGAGGAGCTCCGGATGCAGCTGCAGAAGCACAAGAGGGCCAGCGGCCCCGAGAAGCCACCGCCCTTCCTGGCCGTCCCCATCAAGCAGGAGGACGCCGTGCCCAGCTGCCCCTTCGCGCCGCAGCAGAGACCCGGGAAGAGGCAAGGCCATTGCGCTGAGGGCCAAGCGCAGGCGGGCGAAGCGGCAGGGCGCCGGCCCCTGGGACCCGCTCCCTGCGTGGAGGCCTCGAGCCACAGCGACGCGCTGCCTTCCACGTTCCTGAGCCCCCAGTGCTCCCCGCAGCATTCGCCGCTGGGCGCTGTCAAAAGCCCGCAGCACATCAGTTTGCCCCCGTCACCCAACAACCATTACTTCCTGCCCTCCTCCTCGGGTGCCCCTGGGGAAGGGCACAGGATCTCCTCACCTGTCAGCCAGGTGTGTGCTGCACAGGTAAGAGCTCCCACCCCCAGGCTCCCCCTCCCCAGCCAGCACCCTGCTTCCTGCAAGTGTGGGGAGGTGGGTGGCCTGGCAAAGGGGGAAGAGCTGACATTGGGAGTTTTAATGGGCAGGGTTTACCAGAAGCCCAAAGCAGCCTCGGGTCTTGGCAGTACACGGGACTCTCTTCTCCGAGGTGGAGGTTGGCAAAATTATCTTGTAAAAGGCTAGGAAATGAACATGTTGCCTTTGTGGGCCCTGTGGGCCTGAGTGTGGCAACTCAGTAGGACATGAACACAGACAACCATAACTTGTAAAGGAATGCACATGGCTGGGCTCCAATAAAACTTTATTTATAAAAACAGGCGGTGGGCCAGATTGCCATCCCCTGTTGTTAGGACTCCTCGGTGTAAAGCCTTACCATAGGCCAAACCAGTCCATCAAGAGAGCCAAGGGAAAGTTACTATCATCTCCATTAATGGTGCCGAGTGCAAATATTTACCAAGCACCTACAATGTGCCGGGTACTAACCAAACAAAAGTCCCTATTCTCATGGGAAGATAGACAGTAAATAAAATAAACATGTAAAATGTAAAATGTATTAGAAATTGATAGATCTTTTTTTTTTAAGATTTTATTTATTAGAGAGAGAGAGAGAGAGAGAGAGAGCATAAGCAGGGGGGAGAGGGAGAAGCAGGTTCCCCACAGAGCAGAAAGCCCCATGTGGGGCTTGATCCCAGGACCAGAGAGAGAGAGAGAGAGAGCACGAGCAGGGGGGAGAGGGAGAAGCAGGTTCCCCACAGAGCAGAAAGCCCCATGTGGGGCTTGATCCCAGGACC